GAGGATGTGTATTCCTCCTTAATATAGAGTGCCACGCCCCCACCTCTTTCCTGTCCTGTCCCTCCTGTACAGCCTATAGCCCGTGACATTCACTGCCCAATCATGCGTTGAGTCCCACCACGTTTCTATAATCTCCACTGTGTCCCGGCTGGTGTCAGCTAGCAGGAGGGTGAGTTCCTCCTGCTTGTTACCCATACTACGGGCATTAGTGTAGAGGCATTTGAGGCCTCCTGTAGATGTGTGTACTGACCCCCTAGTCCCAGCGTTACCCTGGCCCCTATCTCTTACCTGTTTATTCACTACGCTCGTTGTTGTGGGCTGGGCTGTATTTGTGCATGTTGTTTGGTCCGGCAGTCTGATGTTTCCTCCGCCCTCATCTACCCCTTCCCCCAATGAGCCTAGTTTAAAGCCCGCCGGAGGAGGTCCGCCAACCTAGAAGAGAACACACACTTACCTTTGGGGGAAAGGTGGAGCCCGTCCCATCCCAGCATGTCTCTCGTCGTGATATGCCGGTCTTGGGCTAGTGCTCTAACCACTCGACACTGCTTCCCCGCTCCTACTTTCCCCACCAAACCATTGCACATGCATAAGCCCACGTTCTCGCTGGCTGAAGAATAAATACCCCGTCTTTCCCTCCAGCTGCCTTACTACCTACACAGTTATTGCAGAGGGAGATCTACAGCTTTCTGCCTCCCCTCGCAGGAAGGGTGTGTGGCCATGAGTCCATAGACTGCATTCCAGAGATTTCGAGTTAACCATGTCTCGGAGCTGGGAGGAGGGATCTACACACAGATCAATCCAACCAAGAGCTTAATAAAATACATAGGGTTCATGGCTTCAGGCGCAGACAGCACCGAATGTAATCAAAACACTGTTGGTACACAGGAGTTTAGACTTCTTAGCCAAGACTGACTACTTCTCAGGGGAGCCACAATTACTCGCAGCACCTCCGAGAACAGGCAGCTTCAGGTTTCATTCCTCTGCATTCTCTAGTACCTTTGCTTTGCAGTCAGCTGCCATCAGACCTTCGCGGAAAAACAATGCAGTCAAATGCTGTAGGACCCTTCTACCAGGTACGGGATCTGCATGTACCCGGGAGGCAACTTCCAGAGGGAGGCACCCCATGCCCATCATGACAAGGTCCAGTGACCAAGACTAAGGTGGGAGGAAACCAAGGGGGCAAAAGAGGCCTTTTAGGTTTCTAAACCTTCTCATGCTCAATTGTTTGGGGGTTGTGTGCTCTTTCTACTGTGTTAACTTTGTGTCTAGTAGGAAATACTGTGCAGCTACGCTGTTGTAGCATTGTAGTGTTGTTGCAGCCACGATGGTCCAGGGAATACACAAGCAGCAAGATTTGTGAGGCAAAGCAATGCCTTTTATTGGTCCGGCTTTCGTTGGGACGGATGTTAGACTAGTTTCAGGCACAAAATGCTCTTCCTCGGATCGGAGAAGGAAGCAAGTATAGTTTGAAGAAGGGCATTAAGCTACCAAAAGCTTCTCTTAACATTTACCCCAACTATAAAGTTGGTCCAATAACAGATTTTACTCTGCCTCACAAATCTTGCTTCTCAACTGTGCTGTGGCATATAATTTTGTTGTGTTCAGATAGAGGTTCTTTAAAACAAGAACTTTTACCAAGCCAGACAGTTTCCTTCTGGTGATTTTTCAGCTCTGAGTAATTTTGATGGATTTTTAATAACTTTTTGGAAAATGTGAACGATTAATCATTGACTCTCCCAGAAAATGTTTCAAGGGAAGAAAAAAAAAACACTGTCCTGTATTTTAATGTATTATATGTCTGTGCTTATATTCCCCTTGTTTTCAAGTGATGTACTGCACATATTCTGACAGGAGGCTTAACTGTGTGAGTAGCTTTCTTTTAGCTACTTGGGGGTTTAGGTTTGCCAGTGTTTTTCCAAAGTCTGCTTGATATCAGGCCCTGATCCTGCAGATTCGTTGCACCGTGTTTTTTAAAGCTGGGACCTAAATACTTTCTGTGCTCCGGATCCCATTTCCTTCAAAGTCAGCAGGAGTACACTATATAAATATTATCTAAGAATCCAATTTAGTGCATCACTTCTGACTGCAACAGTGAAGCTGCGCTGTCTGGATTGACTTTTTGTTTCTGCCCTGTGACTAGTTAGCTCCATTTGCTCCCTGACAGGCACTAATGCAATGTTAGTGGATGTCTCTGTACCCTTTACTCATACAAGTAAGGGCTTTACTTTGAGTAAGGCCCTTTTGCATTATAACCAGCACAACGGAGCAGTTGAATGCAACCCCCAAACCAGTTGCAGATACTTTGGTAAGAAAGCATAGGAGGAAATAAATATTGTAAAGTTGGGTTTTTTTTCTTTTAAAATAAGCTGCGGTTTGGAGTGCAACCTTTTTTGCTTCGCGGTGCACGTTTCATTATATCAGCATAGGCACCGGCAGAAGCCACAGGGCTTCCAAGACACAAACTGCACCATGCGAATATTTGAGTCTATGCATGTCTCTTAAGTCTAGCAAGACATGCCTATGCAGCGTCTCGCTTCCCGCACAGTGCTAATTACGCAGGCACGTTAATAAATATGTGCAGTACGTCCTGTTTGGAAAGCCCCCTCCCCTTTGTGCATGCTTTCTGTTGACTTTCCTTGTGTCCCTTATAAATTTTTATTTTTTCTGTCTGTGTTTTGTGTTTGTGGTTCACAGGTCCTCCCTTGCATTGTTCATCCGCTTCATCAACCCCTATTGAGCAGTCCCCTTCCCCTCCCCCTTCCCCACCGGCCAATGAGAGCCAGAGAAGGTTGCTAGGCAATGGTGTGGCCCAGCCAACCCAGGACTCTGACTCTGAGGAAGAGTTTGTCCCTAATTCATTCTTAGTTAAAAGTGGCTCTGGAAACCTCTGTGTCCCTGCCAATGGTGAGTTATTCTCTCTACCTACTTTACTGCTTGCTTGTCTTACAAGATGTGTGTGGGCCTGTACAATGAAGGTTTGCTTTGTCTTCCGGGCTTGAATATTAATGCACCCTTTATTGGATGACTCCTGCTTGCAATTTACTGCTAATATCTGGAAAACGATGTTGCATTGAACCTCGCTGTGTTTCCTGCGGATGGCATCCCCCTGTCTGTCTGCTAAATGAACCATTCGTGCTCGGGTTCGAACAAGCCACCCAGCGAGACAGCACCTGAGCCCAGCTCCGAAACTTTTGGTTGCGCAGCAGCGGTGCTGAAATGCCACCCACCGCCCAGGAGAGTTTTGTTTGTTGAGTTGGGGTTTTTTTTTCCCTCCCCTTTGATGCAAGAAAAAACAAACAAACTTGGCAAACAAAATCGGGCCCCGTCTGTAAAAAGCCAATGACTTTCTTTGCCATTCCTGCTGATGTTTCATTGCCAGGGACCGGGTCCCAGCTCAGGTGAAAATCATGCTTTACAAAACGTCACTTTGGGTTGAACGAGAACAGGCCAGGTGGATGTATCCTGGATGACGTCACGCCTGTCAGCAGCATTTTGTTGAGCCTGATTTTATTGTTTCAGATTGGTGTCGATGTAAAAGTGTCTCGGTGGCTACATTGCAAGAATGCTGATAGAAAAAAGTAGCTCCTAAAACCTCAGCCCATGGGTTTTTAAACTAGAGACGAGTCGTGACAGTGACACCAGCATGTTCCCTTTGCACACACAGGCCACAAATGGCTCATGGACCCAAATTTCTCCAGGTCCCCTTGAGAAACAGACTCCAGATATATTTGGGGCAAGAGCACAATGCTTCCAACTTCCCCTACCTCAGGGGGAGTTGAGGGTACTCACTACCTCCCTGCTTTGAGGATCATCCCTACGTAGAGCACGCTGCCTAAACAGGGGGCAAGGGAAATAAAAGTTTTGTTTTACAACGCTGATTCCTCTAGACAATGAGGCATAACTAGGAAGACAAGGCTCATTGACAAGGACGTGTTAAATTCATCAAGGATGGTGTAACCTGACATAGTGCAGATACCAGCAATGAAATAACAGGGGCCGCTCAACCCACGGCCATCCAGCCTGAGTGATAATTGCACACAGGTCTGATTTATGAGCAAGGTAAAGCCTTTCATAGATATCTTAAAAAAAGAAAAAGAAAAAGGTGAAAGAGGTTTAGAGCAGCTGGCAACAACTTAGCCCCATTTATGTTAAGCTTATAGGAAAGTTTCCTTGCAGGTTATTTCAAAGTAGGGGGAGAAAAGTTTGACATTTTTAAGGTATCCAGGTTGTAGCCATATTGCTCTTGAGGCAGAAGGAATCAGGACTTGTGGTAAAGGTGATATCTTTTCTTAGACCAACTAGATTTTTGCAATAAATGATTAAACCAACTAGATTTTTGCAATTAAAGAATGTTTTTTGCAAAAATCTAGTTGGTCTACTAAAAGATATCACCTCTACCACGAGTCCTGATTCCTTTTGACATTATTTAATTTATTCCACCCCTCCTCAGTTCCCCCTCCCTTTTTTTTTCTTTTTATTGCATTTGTTATGGTAAAAACAAACTTTCCTTCAGGGCTTTTGGAAGGAGGTTATCTGCTCTGAATTGTCATCATAAGGAAAGCAGTGGGAAATACAATGTTGCATTCATTCAGGAACATGCATAAAATTCATTTCCCCCCCTCTCTCCCCCCACTCCAGCCCACTGGCACAGTTAAGTTTGCAACCCTGTGGGTGACCCTTTGGTGTTTGCTGTTGGACACCTCTTTATCTCCTCTGTATGTATTCAAAAGGAAATAATGGCTGGAGAGAAAGCCAAATTAACACTTGTGGTAATTAAGATCATAATATAATGTAGGTATGTTTTTATCCCTCTGCTCGTCTACATGCGCGCACACACACACGCACACAACCCCCAGCTAAAATGCCTGGGAGAGAGAGAGATGGAAAGACACAGAGAGATTAAAGCCCTTAATCTCTTCTTTTACTAATTAACTGAACAACAGAAAAAGCATTGTTCAGAGTCTGCAGTGGGTTGATGACATTATTGTATTATTGATGTGCTGGTGGTGAGTTAGTGAGACTTTAGGTTCTTTGCCTTTCTACTTATTTATCCTACTCCTCTTCTGGCTGCTTTCTGCAGTGGTTTGTAGACACTTTACAGTCCCCGGGGCCTTCTTTGTGTGTAAAATTCTGCAGGTTGGTAATAAATATGTCCCAGTGTGTCCGGGGTCTCATTTGCTTGGTGACTCTAGTTGTTCAATAATGAGAGGTGCAGGTAAATCCAGCACATTTGTGACCTGCTAGGATGTCACCGTCACTCTGCTATCAGCAAAAAACAAAGGTGACCTTTGAAAGCCACTCTGATTTATTATCCATCCTATCAGTCCATAAGCCGGGAGTTCTCATGAATAAGAAGCACAGAGCATACAAACCCATCATGTCTAAAAAAACCCAAGACTCTTCTGACCTCTGTAAATGGATTTAATTGCCTTAGTTCCATAAAGTTCTGTTTCTATGAGGCTTAGGCAGCTTAGACTTTAAATGACAAAGGCAGCTCTTTATGTCCCCTAAACAGGGAAAATTAGTAAAAGCTTATTTGGGTTAGAACGAAGTTTAATACAGTTAGAGCACTCATTCGCTGAGCATAGTAGCTTCCTCAACAGCGGGACTGCCTGAGAATGCCTTGCGAAGGATTTGTGTTGCACTTTTTAATTGATCCCTGCTAGGTTTTCTTTCCACAGCTGTGTAAACTCTGTCTGAGAGGAGTCCATCCAAAGTAAGTAACACCCAGGGAGCTGCTCCGCTGTTGCAAATCCCCATGTAAATCGCAAATACAATGCACATGGAACTTAAGAAATACGCTACTTTTTGAAGATACACTAGACTGGTTTTTTTCTTTCCGTTCCATTCAATTCGAACAGGAGCGCTCTAGGAAAACAGTCTGCTAACATTTTAAACAAGTACCACGAAATTAAGGAAGGTAAGGACGGGCACCGATGTTTTCTTTCTTTTGCATTTCACTTTGTGTTTCGTAATGGCATTCTCAAGGTAAAAACCATACTGGATTTGATAAAAACGTGTGCAGCTAAATACCAAAAATAAAAAGATTTTTCGCTATCAAATGGACTTTTCCATTTGATCGGTTGGTCCAGATTTGCAAAAGCGGCCGGTGATCTTGGATGCCTCGAGTGTCAGGTACTGAACGTGCAACATCGTAAAAGGACTTAAGTTTTAGGAGGTGCCATTACTCCTCCATTTTCAGAAAATCAGGGCCTTCTAAAATCCATAAAATTAGCTACCCAGTGTTGATAGTTTTCCCAGGTTTGTTTTTTTTACCCCTGTCTCAGTGAATAAAAATCATGCAGTCATGCTGTCTAGCAAGTAGCAAGGGCAGGCAGGAGAAGTGATAGCTAGAAATCAGTCTAAGTTGCTTATAGGAACCATTGCTGATGTCCTCACAATCTTTAATTACTGTCACAGCTTCCCTGTGGAGCAGGGAAGTGCTGTTTACCTCCCCGGAGAGGAGAGCTGAGAAGCAGGGAGATAAAGCATCAGATTTTCAAAGATAATCAGGTACCTAACTCCAACCCAAGATCTACACCTGAAAGACTTCCTATACTCCCTTGCTGCTGGACCATCTTTAAATGTGTGAACTGTTGTTAAGTATGTTTAAATTTTCTTTTTTGCCATCTTGTGTCAGGCATTTGAACTAAACAACAGGAAGGTTAGATGAGGATGCAAAGGTAAAAGAAGCACCTTTAGAAATAGCCTTATCTATTCAGTAACTTAGTTTAAATATACATTTAAAGACCCACAGGATTGAAAAGCGCCGTTTTTTTGGCACTTGGCTTCAGAAGACACAGAACTGAGCATGCACATTAGAAGATGCCAAAGAAAAGCAGGCCTATATCAGTGTTTAAAGACAGGCATCCCAGATTCGACTCTGGTACTCAATGTACCCCCATGGGTACATCTGTGTAGCTGAAGAAAGCCCCTCCAGAAGTCACAGGTTTCAGGACAGGTATAAGCGGCTGTCTTTTGGTGGAAACTACAGGCTTGGGGTGATTGAGTCCCTTTTGAAAACCTGTGCCCAAGTGTGGTTGACGTCTTCCCATCTATTAAGTCTCTCACACATACTGTTCCCAGGACTGCTTCTCTTCAGCCCCTTTTTCTGCACTAGTCCTTTGCCTTGTTGCCAGCAAGGGCATTTCTTCACAAACGGTTCAGTAGAGATCTCGTTTAGGTTGTTCGGTGTAAATTTACTTCCGTCCGAAGTGAAGCTGAGAGTCACCGTGGCACTCAGTTATTATTATACCTTGAATGCCAGCACATGCACTCACCATCGATAATGCATAGGCGGTGCAAGCATGAGCTTGCAGCTGTAGAGGTCAATGAAACTACACACAAGTGTGCACTCGCATAAGTCTTCTCTGGCAGGAGGCTGAGGAGCTGGTGCAGCTCCCATGGGACTCTTTCCATGGAGAATGAGGGCTGGATCAAGGAGCCGTCTCCCCTTAGAGTCAATGGCAGAGGAGCTCTCCCGCAGAGGGCTGTGGCCTTTCAAGGAGCTGCATGTGCATATCCGCAGTTCCTATAGATTGCTCTCAAACACGGTTTTACTGTGGGTCGAATTGCTCCCCATTCCCTTTCTTCTCTTTGTGCCAGGTAGTTGACAGCGACAAGTCCCCAGCACCCACCCTTCGGTTTCTTTGAACAGAGAGAATGAAGAAAGGAATAGTTTCTCATGCAACCACAAGGTTTCCTCTGCCCCGCACTTTGAATTACTCCCTCTTTCTGGGCCTAGGGAAGCATCATAGGAGGAGTTCACATTGTCTCTCCCTAAGAGTAGGTTTCTCTGAAGTGTTTCTCACCTAGGTGGTAACGACGGGAAAACTTGTTTTCAGTCCCTAACTTACTTCCCCACACTTACTTTCTCTCTCTCTCTCATCCCCTCCCTTAGAAGT